CAAAAATATCTTAATTTGTGTTCCGAAGATGAACGAAGGTCTTACGGGTTTGAAACGACATGAGGGTGAGTAATTAATGACAGAATTTTCATTTTTGGGTGAACTAACCCTTTAACAACTCCCTTCACCTATAGTGAAGACATTATCCTCTTATTAGAGGAAGATGCCCTCCTTATGAATATTATGCATTTACTGATCATTTGAAATACATTTAGAGAATTTTGCATTAACTTGATCTTCCAATATATTCTAAACTAAAGTTGAATAAACTGAAACATTTGCTAATTTAGTTATACAACAAAACTGAAAATTATGAAACTACTCGCTACTAATTCTTCAGTAAAAAATGTCTGATTTCAACAGAATCTGTTGTACAGAAGTACATCTGAAATAATTTACGTAATTTTGTATTTATTTTATTAACTTTTGTCAACTATATTTATTAATGGAAAATTGTACATCAGATTATAAAAATAATTATATACAATACAATAATTGTATGATGGACAGTAAAGAAGTTTAAAATGTAAGTTCATTATTAAACAGTAACTGTTTTTATTATTACATATTAACTCTAGAATTTTAAAATAATTGTAAAATATAAAAACTTTAAAATAATTACTAGATTAAATAATAGTAATATTAATAATAACAATAACATCCAGAAACAACAATTCTGTAGGACCCATCTGCCCCAATTCTAAGGACCCCCCACAAATTTAAATTAATTTCTGAATCGACAAATTCCCCAAATGTTTTTACATCCAATACATATCTTCAAAAACATAGAGAATAATACATTGTTTTAGGGGTCACTCTTCCAAATATTTTATTTATACGTTTAAAAAAAAAAACCCATAACATTAGCTCACCCTCAATTTCACAAGCATGGACATTTTGAAGATGCGCCTCGATTTCTTCTCTGCTTGCTTGTATTCTTTCAAGAAGGTCATCCATAGTGTACTAACAAATAAAAAATAAAAACAAAAACATTTGATGTGACTTTTGGACAAGATGAATAAGCTGAATTAAAATTTTCAAAGCTTTTAAAAAGTACAAGCACTGTTAACGTATTGGTAATTAAATAAAGTAAACGTAGACCCAACACACCTAAATCGCACATACTTTGAGTACAGGTTAACTCTTTCTAAACAGCAGTGGTATACCTTCAGTCCTGGCGCCTCCTCCTGCATGCCCACCGCTGGACCATCATATGGATTCTCCATGAGAAGTTTCTTCAGCTTCTTTAACCTTGGCCTCTGCCTTCTCAGCTCCCAGTAACAATTTGAAAAACCCCAAATCTGGAAAATAAAAATATTATTTGACAATGCACATAATCAGCATTAAACTATCCATCAATAAAGGATAAAATCCCATCTTCAGGAATGACTTCTCCAGTGACCTGTGCATGCATGAGCTGAGGAGATGCTGAGATGTCAGGCAGCTGATCTGGAGTTTTACATCCTGGTACAAACAGCAGCAGATTTGACGTGTCTGCGATTTTCAAGTCGTACGTCTTGTCTTCAGTGCACAGAACTGCATGCTCGTCTTTATCACCTCTGATTATTAGACTAATGAAAAACACAGACATCACGATGAATGATTCCAAAAGATCATGCACTACAACATTGTATTTAAACAATTGCAATTCATTTCTGGCTAAATTAATACTGAGGTGGTAAGTGTTCTTTCAGCTTAAATGAAAGTAATAATAACTACCTCTTGCCTGCTTCAATGAGTTTGCAAAGTGTATCATCCAGCTCCATGAGACAGTAATCGCCCGACGATACATTGTCTCCGAAAGAAAGACAGTAAGTGACGGGCTGCAGGTCTTCTTCCTTTACTTTAGCGATTTGTAGTGTGGCTTGAACCTCTTCTAATATCCTCATGCTGTCAAAATTTGTTTTATCCAAGTCGACTCAACATAAAGGCTTGTGCTGTTGTCAGCGCTCAACTTTCCCGCAATATTTTGGCCGGAAGATAAGGTTGATTGACAGTAGTAAGAGCCAATGAACGTTACGCTGTTGTAATAGTGTGTAAACGTTACTTGTCCACTAGATGGCGCTTCATGACACGATTTCATTTACTGGCCTGTTCTTTTCTGTTATTGTTTTGATGCCCACAAAAATGTGCAGTGCCATTGAACACTAGCTCTACACAGTATCATGTCCCCAAAAGGCGTTTCTGTTTTCTTAATACATACTGTCCCATATTTTATCTCAAGAATGTTGTCCTTGGTAAACGTACACTTACTTTAGAAAAGCTTTAATTGGGCAAAATTGTTTGTTGTGGTGGACATGACACCACAGCTGTGGACTGTTTGTAATTTTTAATAATAAAATCAAATAAAAATAAAATAAATAAACAAATAAGTAATTAAGCAAGTAAATAAATAAAATCACACATAATCACAATAAACATGCAATATATTAAAATGGTTTATGCTTATCTCACTCTCACTTTTCATATTTAAAAAAAATTAATAATTTATATTCTTATTTTTATATAAATAATTGTAGATTTTTAGATTTCAGAATTGAAAAAAAGTTCTGTGACGATAAAATGTATACTAACACATTTTAAATAAATAAAAATAATTTATTTTATTTTTATTGTTAATTGTATTTATTATGCATCTGTTAACTGTTTTATGATTATTTTAAAATCGAAAAAAAAAAATCCTTATTTTAAATGCTAAAATAAGCATTTGGAATTACCACTGTGTATGAAACGTGCTATATAAAATTAATTTATATTTATATTTATTAATATATATATATATATTTTTTTTAAAATTTTTTTTTTTATGTCTTTCATATAACACAACGTAAAAAGTTTAAACCCATGTTTTGAAGAAACATCAGCATATTTTGTTGCATTTTAATCTTAGATTAAACAGGTTTTGCTGGGTGTTTAAAGTGAGTATTTGGGAGTACAGTAATGGGCTCCAGGCTCCGCCCCTCACGGTGAACTCCCCCTATGAGGATGGTCAAGTTGACTCGCCCTGCAACATGGGCAGTAACGTGCTTTCGGTGAGGATATAGTAAACAATTCACAATATCATGAAGAAAGCGAATCGTCCCGAGTCTGTCTTCAGGAATAATCTGCTGTTTGAAGCTTTGGTGTGATTTATTGCAAGGCTTTGCGGTTTATGCATTTAAACACATGACTGGATGTACTGATGACTGAGGGCACTTGATGGCACACAAAAGACACAAGTTATTTCGAGTCGTTTTGACCTGTGATCAACTGAACAGTGATGCTCTGTAAGTGACATCGCTGCTATTCCTCTGCAAACATCATTTCGGATCAGTCTGACGTTTCTGCATCGAAACAAATAAGGTAAACAATGTTTTCTCCCTGCGTGTTTATTTCGAGGTTCTTACATCATGGAGACTGATTTGAATCTTTCGGATGACATTTTGCATGTGTAAAACCAGTTAACATGCCGTTGTGTTGTTTTCACTCATTTCAATCAACTGGGCACGTCTTCTACCTCAAATATTAATGCTGTCATAACAGTCATCACGCCTATCCCGATCTGCCATTTGAGAGGCGGGCGTGTTCAATACACCCAGTACAAACTCAAGCACGCTGTGCGTGTCAGTTCATTTCACAAACAGAGCGTTTTTCTCCTCCGAAGGCTGATTTGTCACATTTGCGTGTATGATTTCATATTCAGCTGGGCTGTCAGAGATGGACGGCATCGGGAACACCATGCAGAAGAAGGCTGCTGAGCTGGAGCGCATGGCCGAAGTCCTCGTTACAGGAGAACAGTTACGGTAGGTGTGGCTTCTTGACACCCCAATTTCACCGACGCGACGCGTCAAAACCAGAACGCTCCTATTTAAATGAATGAAACTGCAAGCGCGACGTCGCTAAGTTTGTCGCGTCGCTATCAGTAGATCTCTTCAAATGTGTCACTGCGGCTATTTAAACAATGCATACAGAATAGAGTGTCATGTGTACACTTTACTCCTTTATTACACATTTGGGATTGAAATATAGTAGGTTTAGTACATAAAGACAGGCGTTTGGCACACCTATTTGTGACCTTGGACCACAAAACCAGTGATCAGGGTCAATTGTATACATCATCTGAAAGCTGAATAAATAAGCTTTCCACTGATTTATGGTTTGTTAGGATAGGACAATATTAGGCTGAGATACAATTATTTGAAAATCTGGAATCTGAGGGTGCAAAAAAAATCTAAATATTGAAAAAGTTGTCCAAATGAAGTTCTTAGCAATGCATATTACTAATCAAAAATTAAGTTTTGATATATTTACAGTAGGAAATTTATGAAATATCTTCATGGAACATGATCTTTATTTAATATCCGAATGATTTGAAAATCGCCTTTAAAGTTGTCCAAATGAAGTTCTTAGCAATTTACTAATCAAAAATTAAGTTTTGATATATTTACGGTAGGAAATTTACAAAATATCTTCATGAAACATGATCTTTACCTAATATCCTAATGATTTTTGGCATAAAAGAAAAATCGATAATTTTGACCCTTACAGTGTATTGTTGGCTATTGCTACAAATATACCCGTGCTACTTATGACTGGTTTTGTGGTCCAGGGTCACATTTATTTGTCATTACACAATTTTTCCTTTTTATTTTTTTATCTTTTAAGTCATGAAATTAAAATTCACCAAGTTTATTTTGTAAATTCATGATATAGATATAGATTGTAAATTATTCATATATGTAAAAATTTGATTAAGGATTCTGACATTAATTTAAAAAAATTCTAATGTGCACGGATAAATAATTTATAATAAACACTGCACTTCTTCCCGGTGGCATGTGATGGACTTCTTCAGTCATTTATCATCAGTCATTGGTTCAACCAAAAATGAAAATTCAAGAAGATATTTTGAAGAATGTTGGTAACCAAACAGTTGCCAGTAGCCATTGACTTCTAGTATGGAAAAAATATGGAAGTCAATGGCTGCCAACAACTGTTTGATTACCTGCATTCTTCAAAATATATATTTTGTGTGTGTTTGTTCAACAGAAGAAAGAAATTCATACAGGTCTAGAACAAAATGAGAGTAAGTAAATTATGACAAAATTTTCATTTTTGGGTCAACTATTCCTTTAAGAAAAATACAGAGCAAAATTACTGGGCCATCAGCCTGAGAGCATCTCTGTGACCCTACATAGGACAAACAGTTTGGAAAATGAATGGATAGGGATAGTAGACATGTTTTTCTTTGTTAAAGTCTTGGTTTATTCATAAAGTACACAAAAGACACCCATTTAATGGAATGACCTCTATAAATCTGCTGGGGACAGTCTTGTATTCCATTGAAAAAATATATTTTTGTTTGCAGATGATCACAACCATGGTGAATTTTTGTGCATTATGTGACTGATTGGTGAACATGCTTGTGCCTCTGTCCTTTTCCAGACAGCTGTTCTGTTCACAGTGAACTGTGACAGTGATAGTGAATGAAGCAGAAAGGTGTTTAGTCGATACATCTGATTAATGATTGCAGAATCCCAGAATAGGACGCAGTAGTTTTTTTTTGTTTTTGTTTTTTTTTCAGAATTTCACATTAACACTTATTATTTAAACCTTATTTATGAGCTGTTTTATTGTGTCTTGTACAGGATTTCACATTCAGTGTCCTGCATGTGCTTTAGTTTCAGGTGTGTATAATAATAATAATGTTAAGGGATCTCTAACAGACCCCCTGGAGGTAAAGACATCGCTTGGTGGGTGAGAGAAAGCTTTTATTTCCTAGATGTGTGGGAATATCAGTATCACAGGACTGGTTCTATTGTTGTAGGTCACAGTGAACCAGTTTTATCCCTCATTTGCTGGTATCACTTCCACCTTGCTATGTAAAGCTGACTCAGGTTTGTATAATCAGTAATCAGGCGGTGACAGTAGGCCCACATTTTACCCGGTCCCAGCTCAGGTGTGCTTGATTCAGGTGTCGGGCCGTCAGGTTAGTTCTGCCCTATCTAGGTTTGTTGTTCATAGACAAAACAGAATTGAGTTCAGCTTGCGGACAGGTTTACATGAGAATACAATAGAGGGTTTTTATCTGGAGAGGCAGTGACATAATAATCAGAAGTATTACAAAAAAATAAATATATTGAACTATAAGATAAAATAGTGAAAAAACACTTATTTATTGTGGAGTAACATTGTCCAACAGCACATAAAGTTTATCACTCTCTTTGGTCACATCTATACAGAGTTATTATTGTAGTTTTATTTTTATTTTATTTTCAGTTTAGTTTAGTTTTCATTGGTTTTCACTGTATTGCTGTTTGGTTTAGTTTAATTATGTTTTAGTATTTTAGGGCTACCAAAATACTAATATAAAATTGCTAATTAGAAATTTATTCTAAATTAATTTAAAATAAATGTAATGGTATAATTTAAAATTTCTCAACAGTCCAGTGTTTTTATGTCATTTTCATTATTAATGCAGGCGAGGTGTAAAGGCAGCTTCACATTAAGAACGATAAATATGAAGATAGCAATAACTATATCAGTATCCATGCCAACACAATTCTTCTGTTTACTATAAGCGCATGCTGCAGTTTTGTCGCCTGCCACTGTAAATGCTCAAGCTCTTTAAAGCAGGATAGATTCTGATTGGCTGTTGAATATTTTTATAACGATATTGTTCCTCTGTGTCATTATGGTTAGTCGTGGTGTGGACTTTACTATTCTTTTTCATTTAGAACAATTTTGAAAACTATATATTTATTCTTATAGTTATCTGCCTTGGTGTGAACGGGCCTTAAATTTATCAAGTTTTATAGTAGATCATGTGTCAAAAACTAAAATTAATTTGGGACCATTTTTGTTTTATTTTAGTTAGCATTGCAATCATGAAAATCTATTTTAGTTTAGCTTCCATTTAGATTCCAAGTTGTTAGTCTTTGTTTTTATTTCAGTTTTTATGTTTTATTTTCATTTCTTGATAATAACGCTGCATTCCAATCAAATTAAATGGATATGACTTCATATAAAACATGAAATGATCATTAATTTGAGCCAATTAGTCCATTAGTTCCACATAACTGCAAACCACATAAATATTAATTTGCTTCCTCATTTTAGTCGTCCCCCACATGCCACTGGAATACACCAGGCGTAGCTGACATTTCACTCAGGCTATTATATGGTAATGTTGTACCACATGTCTCCCATTGCTCTATTGTTCGGTGTCAAAAAGTAACAAAGTGCACTTTAATGGTAGCTGCACACTGCTACAATCATGTGAGTCTTTGTTCAGTCACTTGTCAGCCCTGTGCCGTTGCGTCAACTGCTGCATGACTGCTTGTTGCTGATAATATAATTCAGAATATGTAGCTATCAGTGTTAGGACAAAATATGATGGTCACAGTTATGGGGTGCGTAAGCTTTGCCTGCACACTTTGAGCACTTTTTATGGCTTATTGTAGTTTCTGTTCTTGTGGTTGTGAACAAATTGTGAACAAACTCTTAAAGAGACCGTTCACCACAAATGAAAGTTCTGTCATTATCTACTTATCCTCATGTTGTTCCAAAGCTGTATGACTTTCTTTCTTGTTCAGAACACAAAAGAAGATAATTTGAACTGTTTTTGTCTATGTAATGAAAGTCAGTGGGGTTGAAAACATTTCGGACCCCTTTGGCTTTCATTGTATGGACCAAAACTGTTCTTCTGTATGTGATTCACAGAAGAAAGTAAGTCTTTGTTTGAAATGACAGGAGGTTGAACAAATGATGACAAAAATTTATTTTTTTGTTCGGGGAAAAAAAAAAAAAAAGTGGAGGTGTGCTGTTCTATGAAGAGAAGAAATGAAATGGACCAAGGTCTGTCCTGGTTGTCATAAATTCCTTAATCTAAGACAGAGGATTAAGTGAAAGGTGCAGTAAAACTATTGCATAAGTTTAGATGACATAATAAAGATAAATACAATTAGACAAATCCAATCCAATTATGATAATAACCAAAGACATAATAGACAAAAGCCACATGTTGGATCTTGAATTTTCACAAACTCAAGGTTAGTCTAAACACATTACACATTTGAGGTGAGGTGAAGTGAAATATGAATTTCCATTTTATAATTCTCATTCTATGTCAGTTGTAGGTTTTCCTATCTGAAACTTTTCTACTTTTTAAAATACAAATCAGAAAGCTATTTTAGGCTGGATCTCCATGGATTGACCCAGGAAAGATAAAGCTCTGTAAATGTAGGTATGGAGGTCAGTTTTAAAAAGTGTGTCAGGAAGTTACAGGTTTTGTATTGCTGGTTATTTAATGCTGGTGGCTGATTGGAGATTTCACACCAAAATGTGGGAAGATGGTGGTTGATCTGATTTATTTCCTGTTTTCCAGGCTACGGCTCCATGAGGCTAAGGTGATTAAAGACAGGAGGCATCATCTCCGCACCTATCCGAATTGCTTTGTGGCCAAGGAGATCGTTGATTGGCTAATTGAGCACAAAGAAGCGTCTGACAGAGATACTTCCATCAAGATCATGCAGAAACTTCTTGACCAGAGCATCATTCACCATGGTGGGTTTGTCCACCACATACTGTATTTGAATTCCTAGATTTGTATTCCACTATATTAAAGGGAATGTTCACCGGAAAATGAACATTATGTCAATATTTACTCATGTTATTACAAACCTGTATAAAGATGATCCTGGCTGCTGTTTTCCATGCAGTGAAAGTGATTGGGGACTGAGGCTATTGAG